GTTTGTTTTCTTGACGACTTACACAATTTTTCACTATCACCATGAGATTTTTGCCATAAAATTAAAACTTTCTATTGAAATCGTGGTGTTTAATTAGAGTTAAGATATAAATAAAGATTTTTAGCCAAGCACTTTATTCATTTACGTCATATGATAATCTGTCGTACATAAGAGATTTTCAAATTCCCTTTTCTAAAGAAATGTCCGTTTTTTCCAAGGAAGCGCTGATCAATAAAGTGTATGGTTTAATTTTGAAGTTATTTTAATAGTTTATTGAGTTATTGAGGAGACTACGGTTGAACTTTGAAGTCATTAGGTAACATTTCTGGTTGAATTTGAGCTGTTTAGCTTCTTCTTTGAGCTTCTGTTTTAAATCTTTTAACAGGCTTGTTCTTTTTCCAAGGAAACGCTGATCAATAAAGTGTATGGTTTAAATTCGTAGTTATTTTAATAGTGTTTATTATGCCCCACGATGTCAGTAGTGGGTTTTAATTTGATGGCAAAAAATTCCACGGTGGTGATGAACAATTTTCGTATATAAGGCGTCAAGAAAACAAAAAATTCTCAAAAAAAAAGTGAAAAAATTGCCTTAAAGAAGGAACAGTTTTGGCACAAGGAGTACAATAGCCACTAAAAGTGCAATAGCCACTAAAAGTTTTTTTAAAATTCAGCTTGGAAATGGGGCCTTTCTTTGAGAAACCCTTTAGAGCCAGATAAACCTTTTGCAAACAACGTGTGGCTGACTGGTTAAGTGTCTTTTATCTTAATCGGAAGGTCGAGGGTTCGAACCCCACATGCGACATGGTCACCCCCTTCGGATTTCCTTTCCCTTCGGGTTGAGAGGTTTTCTGGAGGGCAGTCTGGTGGTTGTGGCCCCAGTTCTTTAAAGTGACAAGCCACTCCTTCATCGTCATCTTCCCTTCACCACCAAAAAGCTATTTAGTTCCCCATTGAGCTTAGGGTTAGGGAGCCGTCTGTCATGACGTGGGTTAAGTTAAGATATAGCCTAGTATTGTGTGTGTCGTTGTATTGTGATTGATATATTTCGTGTATGCGATAAATTCACCACTGGTAGCCCCAGTCGGTATTTTTAAACCTTTCGAAACACAAATCATTTTTCAGTTCATTCGATTAGTTCTAATTGGTATAAGTACCTGATACGTTTTCCTTTTATAGCTTGCTTCATCTGTATTTTACTTGTTTTATTCCTTTCATAGTCAGCAAAAATCTTTGTATGCGATTCAATAACAGGAACGGATTCGATTTTGATCACATAGTGAAACAGTCAGAGGCTGGAACGGCCAGGTGTCACCCAAAACGGGAATCAACTTTTGATTAATTGTAATTTCTTGAAAGCTATCTTAATGATTACTTTCATTCATTGAAAAATCTTTTTTAAGAACTTTTTCAATAAAATTGCCTTTAACATTCGTTTCTAATGAGCTTTTCGTTTGCTCTGACTATTGAAAAGCTTTAATTCTTCATCAATAAATCTAGTTTTTTCATTGATTCAGTTTGATTCACTATTTTACTTTTTTTTCTTCTTGCCTAAATTGTACAGCAAGACAAAAACTACTTTCTACCCTCGCCACCGCTTTCCATCATTTACAGCCCTCCCTTTTCCCCCTTCTTGACGCCGTTTTGCCCATATTATTTGTGCACAATTGAGCCAGGATCAATCTTTTATCTGTGTTCATTCCCTTGTCCCCTTGTACAAAATATAGCTGTCTTATTAGGTTTTGAATTAGTTTTTGAAGGAAAGTCTAAAATCGCTTTAGCTAGATCGCTCCAATAGTAAAATCTAACAATGAGTACACGTCTTTGACTTTGATTTTAGACTTTGAATCATAGACTTACCGCATTTATTCTAATAGAAACTAATATTCTATATTTATTCGAAAAGAAACGCATCTTTCTGAAAATGGTATAAGATCGATTTAGAGAGTAAAAAGCCCAATCGGGAACATAAAAACGGGGAGTGGGACAAATGCTACCTTTTTTTGCGCACTCGGACATTTGCGCACCTTTTTTCCGCACCTTGCCCATTAGCGCACCTTTTTTCGCGTTTTAAAAAAGCTCTAAAAGCTAATATTAACAAAAAAAGCTCTAAAAAGCTAATATTAACCAATTTCTATTCCAAAAGTTGTTTTTCTAGGTAATTTTAGGGCGTAGAATCGAAATTTTGACATATCAGAGCTTGTGGAAACAAACGCACGGAGTTATACAAAGAGAAAAATCGACAATTTAATTTGATCTAACCGTTTTGTCTTTCAAATTGGTTCCACACGCTCTGTTATGTCAAAATTTGAATTCGACTCCCTCAAATTACCTAGAAAAACAATTTTTGGAAAGGAAATCGGTTAATATTAGCTTTTTAGAGCTTTTTTAAAACGCGAAAAAAGGTGCGCTAACGGGCAAGGTGCGGAAAAAAAGGTGCGCAAATGTCCGGGTGCGCAAAAAAAAGGTCGCATTTGTCCCACTCCCTAAAAACGACTGTTTTTGAGCTCTATATAGGTATTTAAACGTGTTTTCTAATTGAAAACAGTGAGAACTAAAATTGTGAAGAAGAAAAAACTGGACAAAAAGTTGGTTAGAAGTTGGGGAAAAGTGATTTATCATGGTGATTTGTTATAGTGATTTTCATAAGCGCAAATTTGATGCTATGATACTCAACGTAGATGAAATTGGCGCCAAAGATTTTAGCGCAAAAACGCGGCGCTTTTGCTAGCACCTCGGTACAATAGACACCTAAAACTGTTCAAATTTGGTCAACCGTTTGAAATTTGCAGAACTGTGGATGCTTGTGACACGAAAAAAAGGCTAATTTACGTTTATGGACTTAAAATTGGTCTTGACCTTGACTCAGAATCAGGGTTTTTAATGAAGTTTAATTCTATTTTTGATACTTTATTTTTTTTTCTCGAATCTGATCCCCTCTCTGCTCATTAGCTCTTTTTTATTCAAAACTCATCACTATTTTTTTCTATTCTGTGTGTTTTGCTCACCAGTTGATTAGAAAAATGAAAATTTTTGCAGTTCTGCAAATTTTATGGATTTTATCTCTCGTGTATCAAAAAAATGAAATGTTTTTTGTTATTTACAATTCAATTCATCCTAAATCTCTTTCAAATGACCTTTTCAAGGATAATTTGCACTTTTTCGTTCGATTTGTTTTAAAACTCTTTAGCCATGATGTTATTTTTCTTTAGCCATGATAGACCAAACAGTATTTATTAGCCATGATATTATTTTTTCTTTAGCCATGATAGACCAAAGAGTTGCAATCTATCAGAATAACTAAAGGAGGAGAATTTGTCAAAATTAATTTTATAAAGAGCAATTCTGGTGAAGTGCCTCTGAACACGTTCTATTTTTTGAATAAGATTTAGTAGGGAAGGAGACCAAATCAACGAATCGTATTCAAGAATAGGGCGGGCATAAGCAACAAAACACATCCGATAAGTTTTGATGTTAGGTATGGTAATAGACCTGAGGATACGGTTAACACTTAGCACACTTTTTCGTTCAATTTGTTTTAAAACTCTTTAGCCATGATGTTATTTTTCAAAATTGGTCGTAAATGATTGTAAAATTTGTATGTTCTTGAATCTAAATTCTCCGTTCACGCCGCAGTAAAGCTAAACCGGATCTTTTTTGTAAAACCAGTTTTTCCGGTACAATCGAAATTTTGGCTCTGACTATTTAGAGGCAAAATTTGAACAATTCAACATTTTATCCGTGTTCGTTTTATCGCAAAACCTTTTTCAAAGCTTGACTTCTTTAATCTTTTTCAAAGCAGCCAAACGGTTGACGAAATTTGAACAGTTTTAGGTGTCTATTGTATCGAGGTGCTAGCAAAAGCGCCGCGTTTTTACGCGAAAATCCTTGGCGCCAATTTAATCTACGTTGAGTATCATATCATCAAATTTGCGCATATGAAAATCACTATAACAAGGAAACAACTTTGACTCCTTCTTTCTTCCCTTCTACTTTTCTCTTTTCTTTCCCTCTTTCTCTTGACAAGTTAAGGTACCGAATCGCTCAATGGTTAGAACAATTGCCCCGAAAGAAAAAGGTCAAAGTTCAATCCCCTCTATGGAAATTTTCTTCCTACTAATTCCTTCCTTTCTTTCTTTCTTTCTTCCTTGTTTCCTTCCTTTCTTCTTCCCCCTTATTCCTCTGTTCTAAAGCTTTTCAAAGCTCTTTTTTAGTTCTAAAACTTAAAAAAACTATTATAATCTCTTATTCAATTCAAATGAGTTGATAGAATGATAAAAAGGTTCGCTTGAATAAAAATAGGCTACAAGACTAGGATAAATTTGGTTTAAAACAAGATTACGGTAGTTTTCGAAAGTTGAACGTTTTAGACAACAGAGAGAAAGCTTTATTGTAACTCTAATAAATGACATAGTTCATCTCAAAAGCTCTTGTTACTGGAAATTTTAGTTTTACTAACATTTTAGAAGCTAACCTAGAAGTTTTAGCTTACTACTTTACACTCGAGTTTGTACCCAGACAAATAGCTTCATTAATCTTTTTCATCTTTTGTTCTTATCTACGAAATTCCTGAAAAACGAACGAGTAATAGCCGGCGTGTTTACTGATCGCGCTCGGGTTGTCCTTGTTTCGGTTTTCTGTCACCTGAAAAAAAAAGATAATGTTGATGCAAAATGATCTCTGTCATATGAAATATCAATCGGTTGATAAAATTGATTGGATTTCAAATCTAATTTAACTTTAGAAAGATCTAAAACTCACATGGAAATTCATTGCCAGTTTTTTACTTGCATAGCCAAGTGCTAAAGACTCATGTTTACCGTAAATTTCTTTCTGTCTTTCTAAAACTGTCTTTTTTGTCTTTCTTTTTGATGCTTGATTGTTATTTGATTGTTATTAATCATTGTTCAATGTTTACTAATCATTTGATTAAGTTTAAACAAATCAATGAAATGATTTGGTTCGAAAGGAGTACATGGAATATCATCCAAATGGCATTTGGAATGATGCTCACATTCATCGCCTCAATGTGTCATTCGTTTATCGCGGAAACGGTGAGCAAATGAGCATAACTTTAAATAATACTATACCATAGTTATTCTAGGGTTTCTATCCATCCAACTAGTAAATAAACAAGTTCATCAATGCTTTCTTATGTTTTATAAATTTCAATCCAAATTTCCTTATCAGTTTTAGATCTTTCTAAAGTTAAATTAGAATTGAAATCCAATCAATTTTATCAACAGCTGATATTTCATATGATAGAGATCCTTTTTCATCAAAATTATCTCTTAATTTTTTTTTAGGTGACAGAAAACCGAAACAAGGACAACCCGAGCGCGATCAGTAAACACGCCGGCTATTACTCGTTCGTTTCTCAGGAATTTCTTAGATAAGAACAAAAGATGAAAACGATTAATGAAGCCATTTGTCTGGGTACAAACTCGAGTGTAAAGTAGTAAGCTAAAACTTCTAGGTTAGCTTCTAAAATGTTAGTAAAACTAAAATTTCCAGTAACAAGAGCTTTTGAGATGAACTATGTCATTTTTTAGAGTTACAATAAAGCTTTTTCTCTGTTGTCTAAAACGTTTAACTTTCGAAAAGTACCGTAATCTTGTTTCAAACCAAATTTATCCTAGTTGTAGTCTATTTTTATTTAAGCGAACCTTTTTATCATTCTATCAACTCATTTGAATTGAATAAGAGATTACAATAGTTTTTGAAAGTTTTAGAACTAAAAAAGAACTTAGAAAAGCTTTAGAACAGAGGAATAAGATAAGGGGGAAGAAGAAAGAAAGGAAACAAGAAAGAAAGAAAGAAAGGAAGGAAGGAATTAGTAGGAAGAAAATTTCCAGAGAGGGGATTGAACTTTGACCTTTTTCTTTCCGGGCAATTGTTCTAACCATTGAGCTATTCGGTACCTTAACTTGTCAAGAGAAAGGGGGAAAGACGAGAGGAAAGACAAGAGAAAAGAAGAAGGGAAGAAAGAAGGAGTCAAAGTTGTTTTCTTTCAGAGCATGCATGCTTTACGCGGCCTCTTTGATCTCAAATGTTGTCGCACCTCCTTTGGTTTATGTTCTAGGTATTGTAAAACCTATTTCAATCAAATCCTCTTCATTCAGGTTTACGATTTTCCCTATTCCTTGGCGCTTTCTTCTATGCTATTTACATGTCAGCGTTCTTTCATTTAACATCATGGTATCTGTATTCGGGAGCGATAGCTGATGGATTGGTGTCTGGATGTGGGTTTGAAAAAAACAATAATTGTAAATGAATTGAAAATAAGGTTGATGGAAGGTTAAAACCTAATGGTCTAATGGCTTAGAGGTAACTTTTCTTTAATTAATAGAAAAATTGTCTTTACTTAACAATTCTAACAGTCTAAACAGTCTAAACAAGAGTCAGTTTATTGAAATTTCTTGGAAAGAACTTTCTAAATTGGTTTTTGTTAGCACTGATGCTTGGCTCTTGTCGAGTTTAGGGGATTTTTAGATAAGAAGGCTAGCTTTAAATATTTATATCTCTAGAAGCAATATTTTCAATAAATCTTTTGGTTAGAATAAAGCTTGTCCAATGAATCTTGTCAAAATAGCTATTGATTAATGAATAAATTTGGAAATTGCTCAAAATTCTAGTAAAATTATTAAATGTCAAATGTCAAAACTGTCTTGAGAATATGTCTACATTCAAAATTATTTAGTGATGTGGACAGCCGTTGGTCAGTATATGACGTTGAACTCCAATGAGAGAACAGTTGGACGAAATAGCAGTCTTATGTACATGATAATCATGTCTGGGTGAGTAAATTTAATCTCTTATCCGATTATTGACAATATCAAATACAATTTAAACCTAAAAACTTATTGTTTGATATAAAGATCTACACCAATCTGATCAAATTGGATATTCCTTTGAATTATCCTTTGAATTCTTTTCAGTACTCTCTGGGGTGGTGTCTTTCTCGTGGTGATGTTTGGCTCGAAGAGTGATCGAGATATTTCATGTAGGTAAATGAGTCCTAAAGTTTTTTATTCTATTGGGTTGGTGAATTGAAAACTATTGGGTTGGTGAATTGGACTTTCAACTAAAATTTATTCAACATAAAACCATCAATTCATTCGATATAATTTCCATTATTATTGACGGCTTCTGCCCATTTTACAGGCAATTTGCGGATTCCTCTTTCGTAGTAGGATTTTGGTTTTGAATCTAAAAACTTTCAAAGCCAATTTTTGACTGCTTCTTCCTAATCGAAGTGTTCTCCTGCAAGCTCATTACTCATGATCCGGAATAAATAGTAATCGAAAGGGGCCAGGTCCGGACTGTATGGGGATGCGACAAAAGTTCCCAAACAAGGCTATTTATTTTAGAGCGAGTCAGTTTTGCAACATGAGGGCGCGCGTTGTCGTGGATGAGAACGAACTTTGACTTGGAGGCCCTATTCTTCTTCAGGGATTCATTCACCTTTTCCAACTGTTCACTGTATTTGATTGCATTAAGGGTCGTCTTGCTATCCAGCAACTCCCAGCACACCATTCCCTCCATATCCCAGAAAACGCAGAGCATAAACTTCTTCTGGTGCAAATCGGGCTTAGGGTCACTTTCGGTTGCTTGGTGAATTGAAAACTTCCGGACTTTGAACTAAAATTTATGCAACATAAAACTATCAATTCATTCCAAATAATTTCTATTATTATTGACGACTTCTGCCCATTTTACAGGCAGTTTGCGGATTCCTCTTTCGTGATTTTGGATTTGAGGATTTTGGTTTGTGTGTGAGACAAGTGTGAGACTCAAAAATGGAGGACTGGAGATGTCAGCCGTCAGCCCAGTTTGAGCACTTTCTTCAAAAGAAACCCATTTTGCTGTCAATAGAAAAGTTGTAGAGAATCAAAAATGAAGCTTATATCCAAATTTTCAAAAAGATACACTTAGTAGTTTCGCTTAAAATGCAAGTTTTGTGAAAATTCGTAAATTTGGCATTTCTTGAAAACCAGTTTTTGAATCGTTCTGAAAATTTGGAGATAAGCTTCATTTTGGATTCTCTACAACTTTTCCATCGACACCAAAATGGGTTTCTTTTGAAGAAAGTCCTCAAACTGTGACATATAACAGTAGCCCGCAGTTTTTAATTCACCAACCCAATAATTCTTTTACGAATACATTACTCTTTTATAAATTTACCTTCAAAAGCAAGCTTTTAGTGTCAACTCAATACATTCTCTATTCCGTATTCACTGCTGTTTCCCTACTCGGCGGGCTCATCTTCTTAATGCTTCCAAATCCACCAGAAGATCGAAATGAGAAGAAAAAACTTGATGATGATCAACCGAGAAATCATTGGGGAGAGGTTTTGGAGGAATTATGTAAGTTTCACTTTTATCCGAAAGTTGAAAAGGTTTTAGATAAATCAGCACGGTTGGTGATCACGTTCGATTTCCTACTGATTGCCATTCCGTCAGCTTTCACTGGAATCGAGTTGTCATTTTGGTAAGTTGAGAAGAAGTAGCTTTGCCTTAACTACAATAGATTTCCTATAAAGTAGTACAATGGATTACAGTAAAAAATAGCTAATAGATTGAGTACTATGTGTTGATATGGCTTACTCTTTTTAGAAACAACTAATGCTTCAATTCACTTACAGTTTTTATCATTTAAAAACTCTATTGTTCTTTTAAAAGTAGATCTTTTAAAAGTAGTTCTTTTAAAAATAGTAGCTTAAAAGTAGTAGTTTAAAAGTAGATTTCTATTTGACCCTAACTTCACCAATAAACAAGTCTAAACAACAGTGAGTAAAGTTTTAGACTTAATGAATCAAATCTTTATTTAAAGAAAAGCAAAACTCAAATGAAATCAAGTCAATATTTCCTTCCAAATGTTTTTTTCTTTTTTTAAATCACATTGTTTTTCAGGGTAGGCGTCTATCCAACATCTCTATCATTCACGAAAAGCTTCTCGATGAACACCAATGTGATGATTGCATTGAATTGCATATCAGTTGGACTTGGAGAGCTTTTAGGTATCAAAATAACTCTTTTCCAAAAATTTTGCCTTTAGGTGGTCTCATTTTTGGAGTCTTTGGCAAGAAACAAACGAGCGTAGGGAGATATCCATTTATGTGGCTTGGAACGGCTTTGAGGTTTGTTCTAGAAAAAGTAGATGGTTATTTCTTGAATATTTCAAGTAGTTACTGTAGTTTTTTATCAAAATTTCTATATTTTAGCATTGTTGCGTATATTGCTATTTGGTTGAATATACCCGGACCCGCTTCGTTTGAGGAAACTTATGAGATTTCTGTGATTCATCCAAAGTTAGTTAATCAAGCTTTTTCTCAGTAAAGTTCTCTTATTTTCTCTAATTCTCTTATTCTCTTATTCAAAGTTCTCTGATTCTAAGCTCCTTTTTTTCAGTATTGCTTTGGCATTAATCTGTGGCTTTCTACTGGGATTCTTTGACTGTTGCATCAATTCGATGATCTACCCATACATCTCAGTGCAATTCGAGGGACAAACAAAGCAAGCGTTTGCTTTGTCCAAATTTTTCCATGTAAGTTCAGAAAACGAAAGTATAACTTGAATAACTTGAACACTGTTCAAACGAGCATCACTCTTGTGACTCATTTAACAAGAAGAAAGCTCTTTTACCAAAACTTTTGTCATGTAACCTCCTAAAACTCACTTAAACTACAAGCTCATTGAAAAATAGTGTTTTCGAGTACTGCGTTTTCTAAATTGCACTTATTTGTAAAAACTATTGTAGCCAAGTTGTCACTTTGCATTTAATCAGCCCAATTTTGATATCATTGACTGAGCTTTATGATTCCTCATCGAATGATACCAAAGTCTGAGTTGATCGGATGTAAACTAACGGTTTGACTACGGTAGTTTGCTCAAATAGGTGCCTTTTAGGAAACCCATTACTCGCGAGGAACACACTCTACTCAAAAATGCTTCCCAATTTTGCATTTGTCAAATTGGCATCTTCAAGCTACTTCAAAAAGTTGCATTTGAAGTAATAGGTTGACCGGAAAGTTTAATAGCTTTGATTCAATCCAGTCAGGAGTTTCCATTTTGCAGCAAAAAGGTTCAAAGTCAACGTTTCACTCAAAGAAAGCGGAGATTTTTCAAAAGTTTCTTTTTTAATTGACCCATTTGCCAATTAAAGGGCGTCAAAAGTTCTTATCCTTTTAACGGGGGTAGTCAAAACAGCGCCATAATAGAAAACGTTCAAAACAGCGCCGTCAAATTTCTCACACTCCAAAAACCAAGCCAAAAAGCCTTTTTATATCAAAAAATTCCTTGCGTTCTTGGCTACATGATGGGTGAAACAGTTTTTAAAAAAGTTAATATTTCATAGATAAAAAGAGCACTCAAAATGGGTCTCTAAAGATATTCAGTTAACCAACTGAGTATCACTCGACACACATTTTAAGTGCTCTTTTTATCTAGGAAATATTAACTTTTTTAAAAAACTGTTTCACCCATCATGTAGCCAAGAACGCAAGGAATTTTTTGATATAAAACTTGAACCGGCTTGGTTTTTTGGATTGTGAGAAATTTGACGGCGCTGTTTTGAACGTTTTCTATTATGGCGCTGTTTTGACTACTCCCCCTTTTAACTGAATACTTTTATTTAATTCTTCAAGCTACAGTCCGCTTTTTTAAGGGTACTTTTTGAAATGAATTATGAACCAATCGATCTATAGTTTGTTTTATCAAAAAGTCCTATTATTGATTTACAAATCGCTCTTTAAGAAATTCTGAAAAGCTCGCGTTCGTTCATTTTTTTAATCATTTGAAGTTGAGCAGTCAAAAACGATAAAACCGTTTTCGATTCTCGATTTGATTCCGATTTGAGCACTTTTCCTTAAAGAAATCTATTTTGGTGTTTGAAGACAAAAAATAGAGAATGAAAAGTTAGGCGGATAGACAAATTTTCATAACATTTCACCAAGTCGTTTCCATTCTATGTCCATTCTAAGGATTTAAAAAAAAAAAAAACAAGAATTCCCGTTCGAATTTGCTTCAAAGCGGACTCAAATCTGCCTAAAAATAAGCGAAATGTGATAGTTAATCTTTTTTATTCAAAGCAAATCACACATTAATCAGCTAATCATTCATTTATAAACAAAAATTACAAAAAGACGGATAAGACTTTCCGGTCAAACCAATAATAAGTCAAGCGCATCAATCAATTTTCGGAATCTAATCGACTAGTGCTAAAGTAACCAACAAATGATTGCAAAATGAGGTATTCCATTTTGAACTCAAAGTCTACCTCAAGGCGGTAATGATAAACTACCTTATTTTCCCTAATAGTAGTGCCCCGAATTAACGAATATTTTACAGTTTTCAAGTTTTCACAGAAGCTCAGCAAGTCTAATCCCCCAAAAGATCTCATTGTCAGCTACATTTTGGACCCCACATCGTTCTGATCTGCAGTTTTCAAGGCTTCGAGCAATTTAAACGAAGCTTACGGTGCACTACTATTAGAGAAAATATGGTAATACAAGATAATAATGCAAGATAAAAAACTTTGATCTTTTGAATAATTTAAATACCGTACTCTCTTTAATACTAGTGCCCCTCCCGGCGAGCCGAGTTGGTGACTATTTTACGGTTTCCAAGTTTTCACAGAAGCTCAACACTCTAATCCCCCGCTAGATCTCATCGTCAGCTACATTTTCCGACCCCACATCGATAGGTTCTGATAAGCGGTTCTCGAGATTTCGAGCAATTTAGGCGACGCTTAGGGTGCACTACTATTAGGGAAAAGTACGAGCGGTTTTTTGAGTCCTATAGACGCTCCTATAGGGGGTGCTTCCATTAGAGCTTTTACGGTACTTTGCCTTTTAACCGATAGAGCAAACGTAATCACAGAGCGTCGCGTTTGCGCAACTCCAACTCTTGATATAAATACCGTATTCTCTCTAATACTAGCGCCCCTCCCGGCGAGCCGAGTTGGTGACTATTTTACGGTTTCCAAGTTTTCACAGAAGCTCAACACTCTAATCCCCCGCTAGATCTCATCGTCAGCTACATTTTCCGATCCCACATGGTTCTAATAAGCGGTTTTCAAGATTTCGAGCAATATAGACGAAGCTTACGGTGCACTACTATTAGGAAAAATATTCCTTTTTTTCAGTCTGCTTTGAGTGCCGTTTGTCTCTTCTACGGCTCCGTGTTCTCAATTCAAGTTCAACTATCAATCCTCCTCGTCGGAACAATAATCTCTTCAATATCTTACACATACGGAGAACGAAGATATCATGCAAAACAAAGGCGTTTTATATTAGAATCGGAGTCATCGGGGCGGCCGTTAGCTCAAACGATTAGCAGTATCAGCTCTGACTCATTTCACAAATTATAATACACTCGAGAAATCGATATAATCAATGTTTGTACAGTTTAGAAAGCTAAGCTTTTGACAAATGTTTCATATTTTTTTTCGACGATGAAAACAAATTTGTAAGACTCTTTCAAATGAGTTGAATGCTTTGAACGGTTTTTGACAATTGATCTTTTAAAAGCAATTACTTTTTCTTGTTCTGAATTCTTTACGCATTTTTTTTGAATATTTTCACTTTTTACGGTTCTTCTTTGTGTACAATAAATTCTAAACAATTTGGAAGATGCAAAGCAAAAGCAAAAGCTATCAAATAATCAAAAACTGCAAATTTTTAAATTCATAAAGTTTTTCTAAATGTCTAAAAGTCTTCTTGGTCTAAATGCTCCTTGGAATCATCTCATTTTGAGAAAAATTGTCTTTACTTAGTAATTCTAACAGTCTAAACAGTCTAAACAAGAGTGAGTTTATTGAAATTTCATGGAAAGAACTTTCTAAATGGGTTTTTGTTAGCACTGATGCTTGACTCTTGTCGAGTTTAGAGGATTTTTAAAGAAGAAGGCTAGCTTTAAATATTTATAAATCTAGAAACAATATTTTCATTTACTTTACAGAGGAAAACAGTTCAGCCTTTCTAATTAGATCAAAAAGAGCACAATTGGAAAGATTAACTCTGAGAAAATTGCAGAATTGACGAATGCTATTCTACTTGAGAATGACTCAATCTCTGACCGGGTATAGGGTTCGTTCTGTTGATTCCAAAGATGTAGATAACTTTTGCTGGTTCAGGAGTGCAAATAATCAGTTGAGAATTGAAAACTAATAGTTGTTTACACCTTTGCAATGGCAAGCTTTATGCATCCGATTTCGATCTTTGAGTTGAGGCCATTTCTTGGGTTGGGCAGTTTGAATATCAATAAAAAGATATTGTTTTTTTGCTCTGGTTCTATTCTTCTCATGCCAAACTTATATTGCTTCTCCTTTTTCATAATTAAAAACAACTTTTTATTGCATTCCATTATTTGAAGCATTTCTATAATAAACATTTTTTTAAAAATTCCAAAAACTTATAGATTTGACTATTTTAGTTGTTTTAAGAAGTTTAGAAGCTTGGCTGCTCCATAAAATGTTGTTTTTAATTATCAAAAATGGAAAGCAATAAAAGTTTGACATGAGGAGAATAGAACCAGAGCAAAAACAATATCTTTTTATTGACAATCAAACTGCTCAACCCAAGAAATGGCCTCAACTCAAAGATTTTCGAACTCAAAGAAAAAGAAAGACTCAAAGATTCAAAGATCAAGAATGATTTTATTAATATAAAAAGGAAAAGCAATAAAAGTTTGACATGAGGGGAATCAAACCAATCAAAATCAAACAAGCAAACAATTTCCTAGCAATCAAGAGCACTATCCCCACACAGCCACATTTCGTGGCCTCAAATAAAGATCAAAAATGCAACCAAAACTTGAGCCAGATATCTTGCGTTACAGGCCTCGAGGGCAAAAACTGAAAACAGATTCGGAATCAGCGCCGTCGATTCTATAAGATGGAAGAAATTCTCCGGAGAGACCCTTTGTGCAGCTTTATGGGAAGTGGATCTCTTGATTGGAACGGACAAGGCGTTGATGCTTTTGGATCGATCTGGGCAAGGAAAAGATATGCACAAAACACTTACTAGAGAGGCAAACGCTTGGCAAGCCCTTTTGAAAACGAGACAACTCATCTCATCGAATTGGTCACGCTGAGTTCGATTCTAATTTTAGTTTTTGCCCTCGAGGCTTGTAACGCAAGATATCTAGCTTACAAGTTTTGGTTTTCACTTTTGATCTCTATTTGAGGCTTCCACGTCATCCCTTAAAATGTGGCTGCGTGGCCGAGGGCAAAGTGCTCTCGGCACAGATTTTTTTGTCCTGATGGAGGGATGACGTGGAGGCCTCAAATAAAGATCAAAAATGCAACCAAAACTTGCAAGCCAAATATCCTGCGTTACAGGCCTCGAGGGCAAAAACTGAAAGCAGATTCGGAAGCAGCGTAGTCGATTCTATAAGATGGATTTGTTCTCTTTCTAAAAGGCCACGGCAAGTGCTTGCCTTTCCCTAGTAAACTCTATCTTTTGGTCTAAAAACTCTTAAAAAATAGCTGTTGAAATGGTTAAATCTTGCCTTTTCGTTGTAGACTTAGTGCCAATCAAACCAAAAATGAATACAGTCTTGTCAATTCTTCAACTTTCTAAGTAAGTAAATTGTCCTGAACTTTCAAAAAATCATACTTTTTCATTATTTTGAATAAAAAAATTGAACAAATCAACAATCTATTAGGGTGGTGCAAAAGAAACTATCGATGGGTATCAGCTCTCATTTATCAGAAACGAGCGATGCTAACGGCATTATTTTTTTTTATGTTTTGTTCGCATATTTGTTTGCTATTTATTTCGACATTTGAATTTTCTGGTTGTTGTTTATTTTATTTAAAAATGCTTATATTTTTTATTCAGATCATGGTCGAGCAAAAGTTTTTGCTACGAGCAGCATTACTGTTTAACTTCAAAGTCTGCTGCCGAATCGCATCGTTCTCTCTGTGCTGCTTCCGGAGATGGCAGTTTGTCTCTCAGGCAGTATCAGACTTGGTTTCAACGATTCCGAGAGGGAGACGAGGCTTTGGAAGATTACGAGCACGGTTCGAGGCCAGAAGTCGTGAACGAAGCCAAGCTGAGGGACGTTATTCAGGCTGATCCATGCCAATCTGCTCGAGATCTTGCGAAAATATTCCATTGTGATCATGTCACCATCGAACGCCATCTTTTGTTTTGAATTTACCGTCAAATCGGAAGTTTCTTTTGCACCACCCTAATAAAAGGCCACGGCAACTGCTTGCCTTTCTCTAGTAAACTCTATTTTTTGGTCTAAAAACTCCTGGCCTCGAGGGCAAAAACTGAAAGTAGATTCGGAAGCAGCGTAGTCGATTCTATAAGATGGATTTGTTCTCTTTCTAAAAGGCCACGGCAAGTGCTTGCCTTTCCCTAATAAACACGATCTTTTGGTCTAAAAACTCTTAAAAAATAGCCGTTGAAATGGTTAAATCTTGTTTTTTCGTTGTACACTTAGTGCCAATCAAACTAAAAATGAACAGGGTACAGTCTTGTCAATTCTTCAACTTTCGAAGTAAGTAAATTGTCCTGGACTTTCAAAAAATCATACTTTTTCATTATTTTGAATAAAAAATTGAACAAATCAATCAACAAATCAATCTATTTCAAGGTTCACCTATAACAATTCCAAAAACGCAGACCTTTTTTTCCGAAAAAACACAGTTTCCTATAATCTCTCTACGAAAAAGATAAATTTTTGCATAATCTTTTCCAAACTGTTCGGCCTCTTAACTGCACAAAAATGGAACCACAAAAAAATTCGTTGGTCAATCAGCTCAATTTTCACTCTGTAACATGTAGTGAACCGTGTATTTTATGATTCTTTTCTGAAACTTCAACATTGGTTGATCAGCTCGATCTTTTTAAACATTTTTTATAAATTTAAAACCTTATAAAGAAATAGATTTTATTTTAATTAATTTCTTGCTTGGTAGTAGTCTGTTACAATCAAAAACCCAGTTGTTTTATGTGAATAAGTTTTATTTGGGAACCCTATTAGGTAATCTACTAAAAAAGAGCTGTGTCTGTCTGTGCGCACTGCTCTTCCGCGCCCAGTGGACCGTTTCAAATGATTTTTATTAGTTTATTATGAAATTAGTTTTGCTTAAAATTCCATGTAGTTGTGCAACATGTTTTTAAATTTTTAAAAAACCCAAAGGGCCGACACGGGCAGGAGTTGAACCGGGGTCGTGTGGGCTAGAGACAAGCGCCCCCCCACTGTGCCATCTACATGGCCGAGTGGTTAAAGCGCGCGTCTCTCAAACGAACGGAAGGTAGAGGTCACGGGTTCGCCTCCTTTCACTGCCAATTCTTTTGCTTTTTAGCAATAGCAACGAAGCTTCTGGTATATTTTATATTGTACTATTAGAAATACAGGGTGCTAATGCCAACGTTTTCAAATCGAAATTCCTCAGGATTTCAGGTGGCTAATGCTGTGGTGTTCTAGTGAATCATTTGTGCTCTAAAATTTCACATATTTTTCATAAAATATCACAATCGATATTACAGACATTTATGAAAAAAAAATATGAAAAATTTAGAGCAAAAACGATTCACTTTGACATCACAGATTCTGAGACACCAGAAATTCTGAGGAATTCCGATTTTTTAATTTATCTATACTATTGTGAACTTCAAGTCTTGAAATTTGTACCAAATTGTTGGGAGTGGGACAAATGCGACCTTTTTTTTGCGCACCTGGACATTTGCGCACCCTTTTTTTTGCTGGAAAAGGCCTTAGGCAAGCCGGTAGAGCTTCGAAAATATTTCCATAAAAGGGAATCGTATGCGTAGATTCAGAATTTTGACAAATCAGACCTCGCTGACACGTCAAATTTGGGCTAAAAGGCAAAAACTACGCAACTTAACGCTTTTCCGCAGTTTTTAATTTGAATTTGAGAAATTTGACGTGTCAGCGAGGTCTGATTTGTCGAAATTCGGAATCTACGCATACGATTCCCTTATATGGAAATATTTTTGAAGCTCTACGACCTTTCCTAAGGCCTTCTCCAGCAAAAAAAGGTGCGCAAATGTCCAGATGCGCAAAAAAAGGTCGAATTTGTCCCACCCCAAATTGTTTCTTTAAAAATTTGATTTTGATAACGTTGGTTCTTTCAGTCTAATCAATTAATATCTAATCAGATTCTTCGAATTTCCGACAAGTTTGATTCTTTCAAATAGATTTTTGACTTGTGCAGTTATTTGTATTTGCAACATTGTAAATTTTTACAATCTACGCTACAGATCTGACAAAAAAATGTGGGACGGACTCCTTTGCTGTGTCGTGGCAGCGATCGGCTTTGGCAGTGTCTTCGTCCCAATGAGGAGACACCCAATGGGAGATGGTAAAAACGTTAAACTTTGCGTTTTTTTCAGCGTTTTGGTCAGCGTTTCAGCGTTTCAGCGTATAAATTCAATTCCAGAAGAAAAAGCTTTCCTAAATCTTTTCAAATCCAAACCATTAATTCCCAGGCTTCTTTGCTCAACTCTTCCTCTGTTTGGGCTCTTTTCTGATCGTTTTCCCGGTGGGTTTATGGTATCCACCGGTGATCTACCCAGAAGCAATGATTGGAGCATTTTTGTGGTGCTTTGGTAATTGCTTTGGCAATTAATTGCTATTAATAATTCAACATCAAATTTCCAGGAAATTCTGTTTGCGTGATGTTGATGAATCGAGTGGGTATGGCTCAAGGAATGCTTTTGTGGAACACGACGAGTTGCTTGATGGGATGGGCCACATCTAGGTAAAACGATCAAAACTTACTAGAGCCATAATTAACTAAACCATTGTCTTTTAGATTCGGCTTCTTTGGAGTGATCCCTCAACTACCGCAAAGCTTCACCTTAAACTATATTGGGGTTGCATTACTGATTACTGGGTAAGTGCAGGGCAAAAAAAAATTCCAGCCTAAAGCTAATTCCACCATCGTTTGCCCAGTTCTTCTAGCAAGTACTTGTACCAAATTTCAATCTAACCGCCATGACCGACTGGCTAAGAGTCCTGTATCTTAGTTAGAAGATCAAGAGTTCAATCCTGCCAGCTAGATTATTGATTCTTTTTTCCCGTATACAGAAAAGTTCTGTCTCCACTCCAAGAATCATTTGTACGGCTCGAATCAAGGAAATTAGAGAAAAACTGACTTTAAATTTGAAAATGTTGACCATTTTTACCCTAGAAATGCTTCTTTATAAAAAGATTTTGTTTTGAAAATCTTTTTTTTGGTTGAATTGCCCACTGACCCTTCTGGCTTCTTTGGCGTTCTGGCCCTTTTGAGCGCAGCCAAAAATTTTAACGGTGCTTAAGAATGGCAAACTCTTAACCAATCTGACCGTAAAACGGCTAGTTTTAAAGGAAAATGTTTCGTTTTTTCTAATATTTTTAAAAAGTTGGTTTTATCTCGACCTTTTCACATTTTCAATTTCAAGTTAAGCAACGTTGGGTTAGTCTCTGGTTCGAATCCAGCAGATGAGTCAGGGATATATTCCCTGAACCGAGTGCTGTAGGTAACCGCACCCATATGGTGAACTGGTTCCCAAGACCGATCCCCTAGCCCCCTTTCCCTCGGGATTGGGATAACCAGAGATCCAAATGGGTAGACTTGTCTAAGGCGCAAGCTTATATAAAGCGGGTAGCCTTCTCCTCCTAAATCATCTCCTACATTGTCCCATCCTCACATAGAATATTCCCTAGGTCTTAACGTGTAAATTGTGATTATGTGTGTGCAAAATAAATCACCAGTAACCCCGGTATACATTATTATTTTAAAATCAATTAGCAATCAAAAAAAGGAAATCATTTCCGCAAGTAATCGAGCGAAAAATAAATTTTCGAAACAAAAGATCTTTGTAAGAAAAAGCATTCTTAGGGTAAAAATAGTCAAGAATTTTAAATTTAATGTCCGTTTTTCTCTATTTTATTTTATTTTTTCTAAAGAAGCGGCAATCTTTGGAGAGAGAACAGAGCTTTTCACGCACTTTATATATCGGTTGTTTCTTTCCTACATTTAGGGCTTAGGCTGTGCTTGTCCAATGTTTGTACCGCATTATTTCTGTAAATAAATATAAATGTATAACCGATTTTAGAGCCACTTGTTATCTCTTTATCAAGAGCACCCTCTCCTCATCAAGCAGCTCAACAAAAGAACTCGAAAAAGTTGATCAAATGTTGGACTTGAGAAATGAAAAGAAATTTAGCAAGACAAACAAGTCGATCCAGAATCAGTGCATGTTTCATCCATTGAGAGAACTATGTGAGTTCAAAGTCTAAGTTTCAAAGTTTGGAAGAAGAGGAAAGTTTGGAAGATTTTAAATGTAAACTTAGCTCTAAAGATTATTGGGAAACTTTTTCCGTGACTTGTTACATCTTTCACATCTAATGCCGAGGCTTCAATCCCCTCTTGAAATCTTTCTTTGCTATTCCTTTCTTTACTTTATTTCATATATCCAGCTATTAGCTATAAAAGAAGGGAATGGGCTAGGAAAAGCCGTATTTTGGTTCTTTGGGGTATAGAAGAGTGGGAAGAAAGGGGCAATCATGCAACAACACCGAGATATCTCTCTTTTGATCGGGGATCGAATACAAGGACTCTCTAGACCTAGTTGAGAATCGAATAAACCAACAAGTCGATCCAGAATCAGTGCATGTTTCAGCCAATGTTTTCAGAGAATTATATGAGTTCAATGTTTGAGTTTCAGGAAAGTTTGAAAGATTTTAAATGTAAACGCAGCTCTAAAGATTTGCAAACTAAAGATAATAGTATACTATTTAAAGTATACTTTTTCAAAACCCTCATTTTCAAAAGGAAAAACTAAACTACTTTTTCATTTAGATTCTAAATTCAAGTAAAGCACAAATTTTCCATTCGACGTCATTTCAGTTCATTTCAGTGCAATGGGCTGCTGTGTGGTGATCGGTTTATTGTTCGGCTCATTTTATACACCAATTGCTTACTTACAGGTGCTTGATTACAGGATTTTCAAAACTTTAAGCTAAAATCGATGAATAATATTTCAACAAATTCATATGCCGTATTTTCTCTAATAGTAGCGTACCCCGGCGAGCCGAGTTGGTGACAATTTTACGGTTTCCAAGCTTTTGCAGAAGCTCAACACTCTAATCTCCCACTAGATCTCAACGTTAGCTACATTTTCCGACCCCACATCGATAGCTTCTGATAAGCGGTTCTCGAGATTTCTACACAATGGGCAGCTGTGCCAAGTTCAGCGGAGTTGAGAACGCTGCTTACTTGCACTACATGAAGAACGCGACGATCTATTTTATACCCGGTTGCAACAATGGTAAATGCTTTTCATTAGCTGATTAGAGCTCTATCCGACAAAACTCTCTAACTAGGATAGGTCTCGTTTTGAAATTTCATCTTAAGTTGGCGACCTTCCCTAGTAAGTGTATAGGCCAGATCGGTGAATACCGTATTTTCTCTAATAGTAGTGCATCCCGTCGAGCCGAGTTGGTGACGATTTTACGGTTTAAAAGCTTTTGCAGAAGCTCAACACTCTAATCCCCCACTAGATCTCAACGTCAGCTACATTTTCCGACCCCACATCGATAGGTTCTGATAAGCGGCTCTCGAGATTTCGAGCAATCTAGGCGACGCTCATGGTGCACTACTATTAGAGAAAAACCGGTATTTTCTTAATCAGTGAAATTCCAGAGTAAAGTCGACGAAGGCTACCCATCAACAGGCCTCGATTACATTTTCTCGTTTTTCATTGGAGTTGTCGTCACGTCATTTTTGATCTTCATCGTTTATTGTTATGTGAAGTTTGTTTTTTGTTTTGTATTGTATTTTTGATTTCTTTTAGAAAAGGAAAACCAGAATGTGATCCAAACATCGCTTTGCCAGCCTTCTATGGTGGTTTAATGTTTGGCGCATCGATGTGCTTTTTCTTGGTGGCAAACGAGAAATTGTCTCCGGTAAGGGTTAAGAAAATAAGCAATATTTGTTAATTTTAATGTTAAAATGTTATTTTATATGTTAAAAAGGAAATGTTTGAGCCTTTCTGCAGATAAAATAAGATCACAAAATTAAAAATAATGCTAAAATCAGACTTTAGACAGTAGCATATCCAATCGTGGCGATGTTGCCCGGATTTGTCGTCTCTTTATGGAGTGTGATCTACTTCAAAGAGATTACGGTAGGAAATTTATCGATTAAATTCTTAAAAGTATACTATAATCAAAGTTTTAAAGTAAATTCTAATTTAAAAATAACTCGGAATGGAAATTGGTTTGAGTTGGAGAAAACGAGCGTTAATTTGATCAATTTGACACGATGATTTGACGAGAATTTGTAGGAAAATTCAGCTAGATTTCAGCCAAAAATTGAACCCAAAGAACTTGAGCCTAGTGAGCTTGGAAAGATTTGATTCTATCAACTGGAACTAGGATTTAATTGGCTTAAACTTTTAAATAGATTCCGGAAACTTATTAGCCTCCGTTCCTGGTCTCAATTTTGAGTAATTGACAAGGCAATTGAAGACTCAATCTTGAGTAATTGACAAGGCAATTGAAGAAGACTTCACATCAAGATGACTTGATCAATGCTTTACCAAATTTCAGGGCAAACGAAATCTGACTCTCCTCGGTGTCGCTTATGCTCTAACATTAGTCGGTGTCGCTGTGATCACCGCATCTAGATCAATTTCTTTGTAAATTTGTGTCAAATTCTCATCTTTTCTCAAAGCTTTGGAGAAAAGCGAATAGAGAATAATAAATCTTACATCAAAGGCTTACAGCAGAATTTCTCAGCACTAAAATCTATGGAGAAGATCGATAAAGTGGTTAGAAACAAGAAAACACACAAGAATGATATTGCTGTTGATATCATTGATTGGATTTACATCATTAGCGATGGATTTAATTGAGGATGTAAGTTTGGATCCTGGCCAGTTTTCTACCTAGGCCTGGCTCAGGCTAAATACATACTATTTAAAATTTACCAAACAAAATAAGCCAATTATTCAGTTTCTTTGCAGTCAATCATTGAGTTTCTTCAAGATTTCAAAATTTTCCTGTTTTCTTTGATCAGTTTGAGCTTGATCAACTAATATCAACTTTGTAAAAACCTTTGCATCGTTCAACATCGCAATTTCAACATCTCTGTTGATTTTGGGTCCAATTGTGAGAGGAAGTTAGAGTATAGAGGAAGTATAGAGGAAGTTAGAGTATAGAGTTAGAGTATAGAGGAAGTTAGAGTCAACGAGGTCAGAACTGAAGTCAGAACTGAAGCAGAATTTTGAATTTGAATTTGAAAAATCAAGGCTTGAATAAAAAGCTTTATATTGGTTGAAAATGAGGTCAAGTCATACCAAGCCAAGTAAGAATTGGCTTAAACCTTGCCTTTGCTTACCAGACCCGAATTTCACCATGCACTTCTAAAATGAAAGCAAACAACATATTTGTTGCTGTCAAACGCTTGCCAAAAGTTTATCACGATCTCATCTTTTTATGATTTCAATGATTAATGAGAATCTTTGTCGGTTTCAGCTCTTTCATCTGCGGGGACCATTTCACAAGTTGGACGTGATAGAAATATTGGATCTTAATGATCTTAATGATCTTAATGATCTTAATAATCTTAATTAGAAGAAACTTTCGGGATTCAAGAAGCTCCTCGCCAATTTAAAACAAGTTGAATGTGGAAATTGATGATGGAAACAATTTCAACGATTTTTTTGGAGAATTTAAAAAGCTGAAGTCACCGATCGAGCATCATTGGAGACAATTGATGACAAAAACATCTTTGTTGATGTGAAACTCTCGCCAAAAGTTCATCACGATCTGATCTTTTTATGATTTCAATGATTGATGAGATTCTTTGTCGGTTTCAGCCCTTTCATCTTCGAATTTATGATGAGAATATGAGATGAAAGTCAAACTGAAAACTGTCTATATTTAGAGGCAAAGTCCCTGAATCGTCATTTTCTAAAATGATCCTTCTTCTTTTGATATCTACTTTATTCGTCACTCAATGCCAATCTGTAAATTCATTATCACAAATCAATAGACGCGGTAATTTTTGAGTTTTAATAGTATATCGTTGTTTCAGACTTTGCCATGTGCTTTAAGAGGCCATTGAAAGTCGGTGATGTCATCAATGTGAAAGGAAAAATACAGAATGGACCTTATAGGTACGGTAAAAGTTCTGTTCCACTAAAAATAACAAGTAACATTATTTTAAATTGAATTTGACATATATTTTAGTAAAGAATTTGACACATTCGGTGACTAGACTTGACTAAAACTATTAGACTATTCACGACGGCGGTATTTTACACGTACAGTCGCGTAGTCGTTAACTGTTTTACTAATAATTTGTTGTAAATTCAATGATAAACTAAATTATTATTGTCATTCGATAGCTTTGAATCTCCTCTTAAAAACTAGTACAAAGTTATTAAGAACTTTCTGCGAAAGAAAGAATAAAAGTCTTTAAAAGCTTGAGTTGACACCAAAAAAAGTCGTCATTAGTACAGCCCACCGGTGAGTCGCATCGTCGTGAATGTGTTAAAGTTTTAAGATTGAAAAATTGACCCAAACCATTGTTGAGACACAAATACTGAAACACTTTTTAGATAGACTTTAAAATCGTTTTCTAAAAAGTGTATTTTAGGGAAAAACGGAGGTAGGACAAATGCTACCTTTTTTGGCCCACCCGGCAAAAGGCGTACCTTCTTTTGCTGGAAAAAGCCTCAGGAAAAGCCGTAGAGCTTCAAAAATGTTTTCATTTAGGGGAATCGTATACGCAGATTCCGAATTTCAACAAATCAGACCTCGCTGACGTTAAATTTAGGCTAAAATGCAAAAACTACGAAAAAGCATGAAGTTTTTGCCTTTTAGCCTAAATTTAACGTCAGCTAGGTCTGATTTGTTGAAATTCAGAATCTACGCATAGGATTCCCTTTCAAGAAATCATTTTTGAAGCTTTACGGCCTTTCCTAAGTTCTTTTCCAGCAAGAAAAGGTGAGCATTTGTTCCATGCCCGGAAAAACTACCGTATCTTGTCTAGTAAACCAATTTTCAGTTGGGCTTGCAACTTTGAACAAACTTTTCTCAACAATGTTTTCATTCATGTCGTTTCTCGAAACTTTGAAAGGAAAACGGTTTTCAGTGCAAGGCCTGGTTGTTGTGCGTCGGTGAGTTCAGAAAAAATTCTAAAGTAACAAAGCTTTACAAAACTTTACAAACTTATTACCTCGATTCAAATTCTTGACAAAATTCTATTTCTATTTCTATTTCTGTCAATGTCAATTCTATTTTATTTTATTCTATTTATATTCAAATTGTTGAGTCTCTGTCTAGGAATGGCAAAAAAGGCGATCACCACGACGGACTTCCCTACATTGGAGGTGCTCACTTTGAAGCAAGATTTGAGTGAGTTTCTATTTAATAACTTGTTTTATTGGCTTGATAATTGCTTAGTATTGCATTATTTAGAGTTTTGAGTCAAAACTCGATCCGAGTCACCTATCCAAGTCATAATGGCGCTTTTGGCGGTGCGGTCTACGAACAACGCGGTGCTCCTAAATTGCATGTGAATATGGCGAACATGAGAGCGATTAGAGTAAATATTTCATCGATAGTGATTCTAATTGTTTAACTTATATTCTTTCAATTTAGTGCTACGGTTCCTTGGACTCGGTAACATTTGAGGGCGATATTCTTGAGAAGCGAATGCATCGAGGATTGGGCAGTTGTCCGGCTGAGTTCCCGAAAAATTGGAGCCCAGACCGGCCACATCCACAAAACCATAGCAGCAGTCACGAGCATGGTTCTGTCACCCGTCACCCTCAACCACATGGTAAAAACCTAATCAATGTTTTCAAGCTTAAAGTTGTATGGGGATCCCAGAGAGACTCACGATCACCGTCGCTGAAAGCCTCTTGAAAGGAGGTATCTCCTGTGCGCTCATAGCCTCATTGGTCGAGCTTTTGCTTGGAAAGCGAACGATCCCGGGGTTCGATCCCCTGGTTCAATCCCCTGGTTCGATTCCCATAGAGCATGCACTCCTTTTAAGAGCTAAGAGCTTTAAGAGCAAAACTTTACTCAGTTGGCTAACAGATCGAGAAGTTCGACCCAGTTTATGTCCACTAATGTTAGTCTGGTATTATGACTGTGGTTATTACAGTCTATATTAATTTACAGCTAGTAGAGATAGCTCTTCGGATTCTGATGAGCATGGTGGAGGGAACGCCGCAAGAACGCATTCGCCACAAGTAGGAGGTGGAAAGGGGAATGCTGGGAACAATGGAGGAGCGGGTGGTGGGAGAGGTGGACGAGGGAACGCTGGAGGTAGGTCTACAAAGTAGATCACGGGCTCAAGTTGCGCTAATTACTAGGCAAAAATGCTGACTTTATCCTGGTTTGAGATTCAACTCAAAAATCATTCAAAAAAATTTCAGCTGGTGGCAATGGTGGCCATAAAACCATCGAGATTATCGTCCAAAACGAGATTTTCGGAGGTGGATTGGGAGCCATTCCCATACCTGTACCACATTCAATCGGTGGAAGCGCAGCCCCAGGCCAAGCAGCAGATCCAACACCTGATCCGATCCCAGCAACCAATCCTCAGCTTTCCGGTGAGTATCTGGCCCAACTTCCGTGGACACCGATTCTCCCTGGACAGCCACAATACGTTCAAACTCAAGATAAAAACTCGTATTGGGAATAAAGTTGATTTGGTAGATTTGCGTTAAAGCCGCACAAAATTTGCATTTCAAAAACAGAAAAAAACCTCTGCATTATAACCCCGCAAAATTTGCATACAAAAATTAAATGATTATTTGTTGAGTTCCTTTGCGAAGTTAATGTTAAATGGTTAATGATCAGGATCGAGGTGGAAAATGACAATTTATTTCAATGGATTTTCAATCAAATTGTGCTGCAATGGCCTTTAAAAGTCAGGCTTTAATTTTTGTTTTGTGTTCTTTTTTAAAACTTAAACTTTGTGGGGACGTAATGCGGATGATGCAGGCGAATTTTTAAAGGTAAATTTGGTGGTAATAAAATGCAAATGACGCATGGGTTCTTTTTGTGGGAATATAACGCAAAAGTATCGTTTATTTTGAAGAACCAGCTTAAGATCTTGACTTTACACGAACTTCTTTAGAGACCCAACTCTAGAAGATGGATTTTGATGAGTAAACAGGAACTAAAGATTGTAAAAACTGCCTTATAAAGATACTATTAGGTTGGTGCATAAGTCTTTATAATTTTTTCGAATTTTGTTTCCATGGAATCCTTTACCAGCTCGCCTCTACTCGATACAAAAGTCGATTAGGTTGGTCCAAGTTTTTACAATTCTTTTCCAAACGTTTTTAAAAATAATGCCGCCACCAACAGAATTTCTATCTAAACTATTAAAAAGATTGATTGTTTGATTGAGCCTAAGCCTAATGCCCTTCCCGACCAGTTTCGTTTGATCTTCACCGTGTCTGATTTTAAAAGGGCTGCTTCGTTGCATTTTAAGTGACTTTATGATCTTTTACCTGGTACATTTTTCATGTCGCTTTCGCACTTTATTTCTTTCTAAGTACCGTAAATACTGTAATAGTACCCCACCCCCATAATGATGGTGCGGAGTGTTGTGTAGTCTAGCTTTGAACGAGTTTTTCTCGACACTGGTTTATGCTACAATGCGCGTTTAGATATCAAAAAAATAGCCCTGAATTTCAGCTATTTTTTGATACCAAAGACGCATTCTTTGAAAGTACGGACGCTTTGAAAAAAATGAAATACTAAAAAACTTTTGCGACTACGCGACTGTACGAGGTGGGTGGGGTACTATTACAGTATTTACGGTATATATATATATATATATATATATCTAGCGTCAGATTTCACAATCTTTGTGCAGTTTTCGGAAAGAAATGATTCATAAAAAATAAAACAATCAAAAATTCAATAAATAATTTCAAAAAGAACAGGAATTTCTTTAAGAAATCCTAAAATTCAAGCTTTATTTTGTGTTTTAAAAGCGAATTAATCGCATTTTTTCACTCTACAGCCTATAATCTATGTTTTAAACAAGAATTGTTTGAAAATAGTAACGAATTTTGTGTAAAAAGTCACGTTTAAACGAATCTTAAAATCTGCAATCTCTAAAATTCAAAAAACCTTTCAAAAATTTGACATTTTTAAAAGATTTGCCAAAAAAAAACGAGAGAAAATGAATCATTTCAATGAAATGAAATGAAAACGAGCAAAGAAGAAAAATAAAAGCATTAATCAACACGTTTTTTGTCTTTTATTTCACTTTTCATTCATTGATAATGAAATTTTAAATCAATTTTGTTTAGTATTTGTTGGAATACCGCATTCTCTCTAATAGTAGTGGGCACTACTATTTTTTGAACCCCCTCCTGGACCGCAATACTATTAGAGAGTGCAGTACTATTAAAGAGTTTTATCATTTACCAAAGTAAGACAGATATAAGATTTGTTCCAAAATTCTTGCAATTCTTTCACGCACTCCTTTGGCTCCTTTTGACATACAGTTGTGGGCCGGCGAGTTGACAATTTGTGTCTTGACAAACAATAAAAAGATGTTTTTGCACTTTGCACAACAATTTTAGATTTTTTGCTAACTTTTTTATGTGAAGAATAGTGAATAAATGAATAAAAAAGGCTCATTTTTGCTTGCTTGAATAGCTTTAGAATGTCACATAAACATAAAGACAAAAAGGTTTAGATGAAAAAGAAGCAAACAGAAATTCAAATTTTTGGGAATGCACTACTATTTTTTCAACCCCCTCCTGGACCGCAATACTATTAGAGAGTGCACCTCTATTAGGGAGAATACGGTAAATCATTTCTGCAATATGCATTTGAACCCATTAAAGTCGAATCCATTCAATCCAGACCAATAAAACCCTCGAAGGAATTTTGGTGGCAAAATTCCACGTTCACAAAGGAAGAATGAAATTTTTGAGGCAAAGAGATAACACTCTTTTTTTTTTGACCATTTGTCCTTTGTTTCCTGTGTTTTCTCTTACTATCTTTGGGTTCTTTATTCAAAAAATGTATTTCAAATGTTTATTCAAATTAAATATCAACGATTCTTTTAAAATTCAAAACATTTTTCTGGAAATTTTAGAGTTTAACTGAAAAAGTATGCTTAAAACCAAAAATTGCTTCTTTGAATGGACTGAATGGACTTTCTCTTCTTTATTCTTTGTGCTCAAGGGTTGAAAAGCAATTCTTCTGGTATACTTAATCTCGTTTGATGCCTTGATGCAAGTAGTACTTTGAACAAATAGCTCTAACTGCTCTCAAGCGATCAAAACTTCAACTCTTTTCCCAACTCTGGACCGAGATCTAAATTTTTCAAGCTAAAATCAAACCAAAGCAAGTTTTTCCAATTTTGGGATATTTGACACGCGCCCCGCCCTTTACCATTGGCAATCCAACTTTGAACTCAAATATCTTTGTGTTGAGTGGTCCAATTTAAATATCCTTGGCATCATTATATGCGCCAAGTCTTTCTCTATCGATTGGTGCTAAAAGCTATTTAAATTGGACAACTCAACACCAAGATATTTCAGCTCAAAGTTAGATTGCCAATGGCAAAGGGGCGGGGTCACTGTGGGACCTTTTATACGCGCCCCGCCTTTTTTACCCTTGACAATCTAATTTTGAGCTCAAATACCTTGGTGTTCAGCTGTCCCATTTTAATATTCTTGATGTCATTAGATGCGTCAAGTCTTTCTCTATCGATTGGTATAAAAACTATTTGAATTGAACAGTCCAACACCAAGAAATTTGAGCTCAAAGTTGGATTGCCAATGGCAAAAAGGGGCGGGGCGCATATAAAAGGTCTCACAAGCGGTCTGAAAACCGTAACTAAATTGATCTGTCGTAACTAAATTGATTCGTAAAGTCAAATCTCTTGGTGTTGAGTTGTCCAATTGAAATAGTTTTTAGACCAATCGATAGAGAAAGACTCGGCGCGTCTAACTAAGAATATTTAAATTGCAAAAACATCTTTCAAATCTTTCAGCATGCTAGATATTCTTGGTTTCATTAGATAGGCCAAATCTTTCTCTATCGATTGGTATAAAAACTTTTAAATTGAACAGCCCAACACAAAGATAAACAGTAAATCTCAGCCTCCATTGCGTGTGTGAACATTTCAAAAAACGTTGATGAAGTCTAAAAGTCGCCCCGCCTCTTTGCCATTGGCAATCTAACTTTGAGCTGAAATATCTTGGTGTTGAGTTGTCCAATTGAAATAGTTTTTATACCAATCGTCAGAGAAAGATTTGGCCTATCTAATGAAACCAAGAATATCTAAATTCGACAACCCAACACAAAGATATTTGAGTTCAAAGTTAGATTGTCCAATGGTAAAAGGACGGGGCTTGTTTCAAACCAATTTTTCCGCCACTTCTGCTTCTTTCTCGTTTCTTTTTGCTAACAGTCTTCAAAACTTAATTTTCAGATTCACCATGAAATTCCCAAAGAAAGAAACGTTGAATATTCTGCAATTGGGTCTTGGAATGATGCTCGTTTTCTTTGCTTTCATTTCCCAAGCATTCATCGTGGAAACTGTTTTGGAAAATCGACATGACAGCGATCCATCAATCAGTAAACACGCTGGATATTACAGGTTTGATTTATTTGAATTCCTTTTTCAAACTAATTCAGTCAAACGATCGTCTATGGGATGTTTCTTTTTGGCAATCTCTTGGCTCCGCCAGTTATCTCATTTATTGGTATTGTCAAGATTGTTGAACTTTTCAAAGCAAATTTTAGGCTTAAGATTAGCTTTCATTTTTGGAAGCCTTCCATATGTCCTCTACATGGTCGGTTTTCTATTCCTCAATTCGTATTACCTCTACGCCTCGGCTGCTTTCGAAGGACTCATGGCTGGGTGTGAGAATTTGCATTCGATACAGAATTTCAGTAATTTTAGTACTTTGGACTTCTGTAGGCCAATATTTGGCATCAAATAGTAATGAGCGGACGATTTCCAGAAATAGCAACATGATGTGGATGCTGTATATGAGCAGGTTGAAAGTGAAATTCTGAAAAAGCAAAAGATCAATGCGCGGCTCGAACCTGCGATAGTTAGATTATGAGTCTTGCGCTCTGTTGACTGAGCTACACTACTGGACAATGAAATATCCTATTTGAAAAAAGATCGTCACTTTCGCGCGTCTGTAAGTTTACAATCAGGGAGTCTGGAAAAGGATTGCCTAGGTCCTATTTAGTTCCTATTTAGTTCCTATTTAGTTCCTATTTAGGTCCTATTTAGTTCCTCTATAGGTCCTATTTGGTTACTTTATAGTTCCTATTTAGTTCCTATTCAGTTCCTAATTATCCATTGACAAGTTCCAAAAGCAGACTAAACTAACCTTTGTTTCCGGTAAATGCCACGTAACATAAAGATGACAAATGATCGATGGGATCATGAAAATTGGCACAAAGCATAGTGACCCATAAATCTAAAACATTTGTCGTAATGGTTACATACAGTGCTGGACAATGAAATATCATATTTGAAAAACGATCGCCACTTTCGCGCGTCTGTAACTCCCTTGTCTTTGAGCATAAACTATTAGTGTTATACATTTTCTGAAAGCTCTTTTCAAGGGCTACACAATGGTAATATTAATATTTAGAAATACCGTATTTTTTGAGGCATTTCAGTGACGAAAGTGACGATCGTTTTTCAAATATGATATTTCATTGTCCAGTACTATAGCTGAGCTTTGGTTAGGCCAGGAAATTCAGAACAAATATTGAAGTGTCAATGAGTTTTTGAAAGAAAAAGTCAACAAAAGAAACAAAAGTTAACAATTATAAAAGCTTTTACAGCTCTAGTTTTCGCAGATTATTTAAAAAGTGTTCATTTCTAAGATAGGAAACTTTATACTATAGAAAGTTAAAGATTTAATCAAACATGACCAAGAACACACTTCATTTTCTCTCTTTTAGTATGATTTTCGGTGGTGGCTTTCTAATTGCTGTATTTGGCTCAAAACCCGACAAGAATATCAGTATGGGAACAACGAGAGTATTGTATGGGACTTTTGCATCAGTTTGTTTTGTTGGAGTGATCACATTGGGTCTCTTACGACAAAAGACGCCAGGGAAAAATGCTGCGAAAGCAAATCATCTACAAGAAATGTGTATGTTCGAGCTTAGCTATTGATCTTTGCATTTTTTTAGCAAAGGTGATCAAAATGCTCCAAACTCAAGACCATTGGTGGATCGCTATTCCATCGGCTTTCACCGGAATCGAGAACTCGTTCACTAGTGGGGTCTACCCAACAGCACTGTCGTTTACCAAAAATTTTTCAATAAATACGAATCAATTGATGGGATTGAATGTGATGGCCACTGGAACAGGGCAATTGTGCGGTGAGGTTTACTATTCAAATCTAAGTTTGAAATCCCAAAAATGCATGGAAAAGGCGTTTTTGACTCGAGAACAAGTCCATCTTAACATGAGATAACAAGTCCATCTAAGCAACATGAGAGCGCGCGTTGTCGTGGAGGAGAACGATCTTTGACTTGAAGGACCTATTCTTGTTTTCTTTATCTGCGAGTCCCGCGAAATAGATTTCAGATTTATCTTTGATATTTGATCTATTGGGTTGGTGAAGTGAAAACTGCGGGACTTTGAACTAAAATTTATTCAATATAAAACCATAAATTCATTCCAAGTAATTTCCATTATTATTGGCGACTTCTGCTCATTTTACAGGCAATTTGCGGATTCCTCTTTCGTAGTAAGATTTTGGTTTGTGTGTGAGACTCAAAAATGGAGGACTGGAGATGTCCCAGTTTGAGCACTTTCTTCAAAAGAAAACCATTTTGGTGTCAATAGAAAAGTTGTAGAGAATCAAAAAATACGCTTATAGCCAAGTTTCCAAAAAGATTCACTTAGTAGTTTCGCTTAAAATTCAAGTTTTGTTTTCATAAATTTGGCATTCGTAAATTCTGCATTTCTTGAAAACCAGTTTTTGAATCGTTCTGAAAATTTGGATATAAGCTTGATTTTTGATTCTCTACAACTTTTCCATTGACACTAAAATGGGTTTCTTTTGAAGAAAGTGCTCAAACTATGACATATGACAATAGCCGGCAGTTTTTAATTCACCAACCCAATAGAATTGGCCATGGGGATCTCGAATCCGTCTTTAGTTTTTGCAGAACTCTTCTTTCAGTTCTGCAAACAATTCTGCAAAAACTAAATTGTTGTTTGTTTGTTGAAGTTTGTTGAAATTACAGAAAATAGGGTATAAAACTCGAGTTATAGAAAATCAACTTGAATTTTGAGTTCCTTATGAGGTTGCCAACGCTTCCCAAACAACTGCTTCAGTAGTCTAATGAATAAGCTGCTAGACTACCGAACCTATTACACTTTTTACCCCAAGTTCGAGTCTCACTCTCGTCGAACTTCTTTCCCTTTTTAAAAAACCGTTTCCCTATTTGTCAAGAAATACTAAAATTAAAGCTTTTTCGAGTCCCGCTCTCGTAAAACTTTTAAACCTCAACGACAAATCAATAATAGAGTTGAATTTTATACATAGCTTTCTGTAGCTTTCAGAAATGTGGAATATTAAACAAATATTAAATTTTCAATACTTATCTACTGATTCTGATACTTTAGAAAGTTTTAGCTTTTGTAAATTATTTTTTGAAGTTATAAAAAGTGGGTATAAAACTCGAGTCAATAATTCAATACCAAGACGTAGGGAAATAGTTTTTTTTAGAAAAGAAAAGAAGGTTTGGCGAGAGTGGGACTCGAACTTGGGGCAAAAAGTGGAATAGCTTCCGTTGTCTAACAGATTATCCACTACACCATCGAAGCAGTTGTTGAGAGAATAATAAGAGAATTCTAAAGTATCAGAATCAGTAGGTAAGCATTGCAAAATTTAATATTTGTTTAATATTCCACATTTCTGAAAGCTACAGAAAGCGATTTATAAAATTCAACTCCGTTATTGATTTGTCGTTGAGGTTTAAAAGTTTTACGAGAGCGGGACTCGAAAAAGCTTTAATTTTAGTGTTTCTTGACAAATAGGGAAACGGTTTTTTAAAAAGGGAAAGAAGTTTGACGAGAGTGGGACTCAAACTTTGGGCAAAAAGTGCAATAGGTTCTTAGTCTAGCAGACTATCCACTACACCATCGAAGCAGTTGTTGAGAAAGTGTCTGACGTTTTCTTAAGGAGTCCAAAATTTGACTCGATGCCTTTCCCTCGTAAGCATTTAGGAAGATCAATTCTAAAGCCAATATTTCAGCAGCTCTCCTCTTCGCCTCGATCGGCAAATGGTCGGATCGAGCGGGTCGATGGTATTCGATGTGGGTGGGAACAGTTGTGAGCTTGATCTGTTATGGCTTGATCACTGTCAACTTGCCAGCCATTGCCTCATATGAAAAGACATATGACAAGCCATTACTGTCAAATCCAAGGTAACTCTATTGAAACAAATTTCTACTTATTTAACAATTGAAATCTTGCTCTAGAAGATATCCAAATATTCCTGCTGTTTTAGCGTTGTTATTGGTTTAATTTGCGGCTTCATGCTTGGTTTCAATGATTGTTGTGTGAATACTCAGATTTATGCTTTGATCTCTGTGCGTTATGTTGGACGAACAGGACCAGCATTTGCTTTGAGCAAATTTTGGCATGTAAGTTAGGAAAATCATGGCCATGTTTACTTGCAAAACAAAATGACTATCGTATTTTCTCTAATAGTAGTGCACCCAACTGAGCCGAGTTGGTGACTATTTTACGGTTTCCAAGCTTTTGCAGAAGCTCAACACTCTAATCCCCCACTAGATCTCCTCGTCAGCTACATTTTCCGACCCCACATCGATAGGTTCTGATCAGCGGTTCTCGAGATTTCGAGGAATTTAGGCGACGCTCTGGGTGCACTACTATTAGAGAAAATACGATAACAAAAACGAACAAGATGTGCTAAATATTTAGCACAGCAAATATTTGCTTAATATTTACATTGAGGTTTACAGATTTACATTTAAAAGTTGTTTCAAACTAAGAAAACCTGAAACGACTACGGAAAAGTGCTAATTTCGGTCAAATGTTGTTTTGTGACAACTGAATACCTTTTTCTTCCTCAAACTTGTGATCTGTATCGCTTAAATGTATTCATTTCCTCACTGTTAAGTCAGTAATACAAGTTAAATCAGTTAAATTGTTACTTTCATCCCATTTCGGACAAATCTTGATCCATTTTGTTAAGTCAGTCATTTTAGCTCCGTTATTGAATTCGTACAAGTAACCCATTGGGTTTTCTCGCAATTGAGGGCTGTCTGTCCGTCCGTCTGTACGCAACGTTCATCTCGAAAACGGGAGAAGCTAGAGCTTCAAAAACAACACCTTTATAGGTTTTCGGGGTCGTGAAGTTCCCCATTAAGGTGAGATTTTTTCTACGGGCAACGGAAACAGTAGTATTGCGTAATCTGACCCTAAATCTCAGCCCCAGTGTACCGATTTTCATGATTCATGTATCATTTTGTAGGAAATTAAAAATTAATAGGTACAATCCTGTTTGCACAATAAAAAGTTATTATCATCTAAGGGCACTTCCTGTGCAAAATAACCGTCGGGAAGTGACGGCACTCTGATCGTCAGGCAATGGGTGGCCGAAAGAACTTTCATCCCATTTCGGACAAATCTTGATGCATTTTGCTCAAAACCTTTCGCATTTTAGCTCCGTTATTGAATTCGGGCAAGTAACCCGTTGGATTGCAGTAAATAACGGGTAAATTGTCTTTGATTAACCAAAGTTTGTACAATAAGAAGCAAAAGACTGAAAGTCTTGATCAAAACACACATAAACTAAGACAAGAACTTTGTTAAGACAAGAACTTTTTCGTACAAAAGACTCACCATGTAACTAACGAATTTTTGAGTGATACGTTTACTGAAGCCTTGTATTTACCCTTGTATTTAGCCTTGTATTTACTTTATTTTAGGCTCTCTTCACCGCAATTTGCATGTTCTATGGCAGTGTCGCTTCTCTCTACATCCAACTCGCAATTTTAGCCGTTGGAACGATTCTCTCATCATTATCTTTCACGTATGTCGAGCGAAAGATGTTGAATCAAAGGAAACGATTACCGACGATTACCATTGATTTTTGTTAGGTTAATAAAAAGAAAAATTTATTCATTACATACAAATTGCAATATTCTATTTTTCTCCAACAGGGATGTCATCCTTGACGAAATCGCCGAGCATCAACGGGCTCACCAAAGATGTGCCCCCATCCAATCGAATGCATTGACCGATCATGTAACGAGATTGAGTGCTGAAAGATTTGAAAGATGTTTTTGCAATTTAAATATTCTTAGTTAGACGCGCCAAGTCTTTCTCTATCGATTGGTCTAAAGCTATTATATTTTTGAGCTATTTTTGAGTGATTGCATACTTTTTAAAATAAAACGCTTCATCGATTACATCGTTTCCCAAAATTTCCAAACAATCCAATCGATCGAACCGTTCTCTTTCTTTTAATCTTTTTTTAATCTTGCTTAAATTCAAACGAAAATGGATTAAATTAGCACAAAAGTACATTTTGAGGCTAATTTGAAAATCAACCTTCCGAAGATTGGATTGTTCTGAAATTTTGGGAAACTATGTAATCGATGAAGCGTTTTATTTTAGAAAAAAAGCAATCACTCAAAAATAGCTCAAAAATATAATAGTTCATGAATGCTAGAAGCCAGGATTTTGAACTCTTACATTAAAATGCCTGAAAAAGTTCTAAAATAAAACATTTTTCAAAATTCAAAATAAAACATTCAAAAAAGCCATTTTGTAGATTAAGGATAGGGCTTTTGAATCAAGCAAACCGTTTTTTGATTGGATAAGCCGTTTTTTCAGAAAACACATTACCCAAAAACGATCGTTTATAACTTGCCAACCTAATACTTTACAGAAATTAGGACTTTAAGAAACTGTATGCCTATTCAACTCACTGATCGCAGAGGAAAGCGGCGAGCCGAGCGACATCTTCAGGTTCAGCAATAAAGCCAGCTGGAATCATTTCAAAGCGACTTGCAAGACCGTCATTAATCTAAAAAAGTTTTGTATTTTGACTGATTAATTTGAAAGACTGATTATCAGATTACTCTCACTACGAAAGGTTGTTTTTAAGGTGAAATTTTAAAACGAGACCAATTCTATTTTTTTCAGTTTTACATGGGCTTTCCGAATCCGTTTTTAGCTTTTCCTAAATGATATAGAAAATTCAAATCATATCATATGCATATGGTTTAGGTTTTTGCTTGTAGTTGCATTCAAAATTGGTTTTGATTTTGGTTTTATTCACTTCTGGAACTTGAATATGTAAACCTGATTTTGCTAATAAAGTACAGGGTGCGGTAGGATTATTGCTAGAGTGTGTTCCTCATGAGTAACTCACGAGACTGTTGCAAACCAAACCAAAGCCTTGCCGGTCTTGAAAATAGTTTTTAATTATTTTATAAAATCACAAAAAAGTTTGTCCGTGAGCGGTATCGAACCAGGGAGGAAAAATGATGACGCCCAAACTTTTCGATAAAGTGTGCTCCTCGCGAGTAATGCCTCGCGATTCCGGGATTCAGGTTGGCAACGAAACCGGACTTACTGAATCAAGGGCTCGGATCCCGGATTTGAGATTTGTATCTACTTTATCTAACTATTTTAACTAGCTAAACTATCTATTCTATTTGATTTTAACTTTTAAAATAAAATAGAATAGTTATACTTTCACCCGAACGGAGTTCTGAATTCGGATCTCCAGCACAGCGTAACGCAAAATCGAGTTCATTTCGTGTCATGTAAACAAATGCATAGCTCATCTGTACGCAATTACAGATAGAGTGTGTTTCTCGTGAGTAATGTCTTCTCTAAAACGCATTTTCAGAATCTTAGCAAAAAATTTTTGAAAAATATTGTCACCGGTGGAAGTCGAACCAGCGACCCTAAGATCAATAGCCTTTCCGCCAAAAATTTTTGGCTAAGATTCTGAAAATGCGTGTCTAGGGGTTATTTTTGACGCTGATCACGAAACACATGTTTTTAGCCTAGGTTTCTGCACGGAAAATTAACGAAACGTGAAAACAGCCATTTTTTGGCTCTGCTGCCCTTTACTAAAATAGCTGTAAAAACTTTTAGAAAAGAGATATCTCAAAACGGTTTTTACCAATCGATCCGTCTTGAATTCAGCTTTAGGATGAGCTATAAAACGTCTAAACTGGACAAATTTAAGGTACTCTCCCAAAAAATCGGAAAGGACTTTTCCACCAACCCAATATCTTTAAAAAAATTGCTTATAATAATCCTGCCGTACCCTGTAGATCGTTTGAAGAAAGAGAATATGACAGGAATCAGAAAGTCCAAATTTTCAAGCCAAATTCCTTGCGTTTGCAAGTCCTTTAAGAAAAACTAAAAATTGACCAAGATACGAAAGATCTCGTTTTGAAATTTCACCTTAAGTTGGCGACCTTCCCGTGGCAGGAGTTCTTTGTGCTTACCTTCTCAGCTGTTCCTTGGTCGATACCTTGCTTCTGCATGAGAGTTGTGTTGACGGCACCAGGCCTAAAAGTTTCAGTAAGTGGATTAATTCTTAGAAATTTTGCCTAAAAATCTAGATAAATTGATTTGAAAATACTAGATTTGAAAAAATTGATTTAAAGATTTTAAAAATACTAACTTGATTGCATTGACTCTAACTCCTCGTCGAATCATCTCCAATCCAAGACTCCTCGTCAAAGCATCGACACAAGCCTTGGACATTGCGTAGAAGGTGAATGAGCACTGAAAATGTAAATAGCTACAGTAATTTTGCAGCGAATATGATATGAATCAAAAAATTAAAGTCAAATTCCTTTGAAAGTGATAAACTCATGATGAAAATCCTATTTTAATAAGACTTACTCCTTGAACTTCTGAATAAGCAATTGAGCCGACATTCACAATGGCGCCCTTTGATTTTTCGAGATGGGGAGCGGCTTTACGAGTGAGGTAAACAATGCTGAAAAATTCAACTTATAAAGCTAATGGATTTTTTTAATTTAGCACAAATTTGCCAAACAAACCATCTAGAGTTGATCTTCATAATGTAGTCGTAGCTGTCCATGTCCTGGGTGAAAAACCCTGGGATTTTTCCGGCACGATCAGCATCACCGACACCAGCGTTGTTGATCTAAGGCTCTTAAGTAATAGTAGGCTAAATTTTTCAAGTGGAACTTGAACTAGTGCATATTTTGCTACGAAAAGCTACTGGATTCACTGTAAATTAATTATTAACTGTAAAGAATTGCGCAAACTCGACTCATGTTCAACTTTCAACCCAAAATCTGATGTTTCTCTTCAGATTTTCTTTAGAGAATTAGTTTTTTTGTTTAAAGATTCAAAATCTTCATCTTTACAGATTCAGAATTCAATTTTCTTTTCAACAAGCTGAAATCTAATGATAACCTATTAGTTTTCCCTATTTATTGGGTTGGTGAATTAAAAACTGCCGGCTATTGTCATATGTCACAGTTTGAGAACTTTCTTCTAAAGAAACCCATTTTGGTGTCAATGGAAAATTTGTAGAGAATCAAAAATCAAGCTTATATCCAAATTTTCAAAACGATTCAAGAACTGGTTTTCAAGAAATGCTAATTTACAAATTTTCATAAAACTTGCATTTTAAGCGAAACTACTAAGTGTATCTTTTTGGAAATTTGGCTATAAGCCTAATTTTTGATTCTCTACAACTTTTCTATTGACACCAAAATAGGTTTCTTTTGAAGAAAGTGCTCAAACTGGGACATCTCCAGTCTCCATTTTTGAGTCTCAGACTTGTCTTACACACAAAACAAAACCCTAACACGAAAGAGGAATTCGCAAATTGCCTGTAAAATGGACAGAAGTCGTCAATAATAATGCCAATTATTTCGAATGAATTCATGGTTTTATGTTCAATAAATTTTAGTTCAAAGTCCCGCAGTTTTCAATTCACCAACCCAATATTTTACTTGATTCTAACCCAAAACCCAGGGCTCTCAGCCAATCTTTTTCATATCTTTTTTTCAAATTCTCACCAAGAAATCGATTTTCCCAAACTTGGCCACAGTCTCGTCAACTAGACGATCCATGAAAGACTCCTCGCCGAGATTCCCAGCAATGCTCAACACATCTCCTTCAGCCGCTCCTCCAGCCACACATTCTTTCTTTGTTTCCTGGAAATCAGCATTTCTAGATTTATATACTCTATATTTATTATATACAATCTACTCTTTAGTTTTCTGTGAGAGCAAAGCTTTCTGCGACGCTCTTGCTATCAGTTTAATCTTCAAACAGCTAAGAATAAGACTCTTTGATCTGCAACGCTTACTCACACCTTATCAAAGGAAAATTTCAACCAAGAAAGGTTAAAAAACTTGTCTCAAGGTTTGATTTAACTTTAAAAATTAAAAAAACGTTTACTTTACAGACGTTCACTCACATCAAGCGCCTCCTGACTTCTGCCGGTGACTGTCACCTTGCAACCCTGCTTGGCAAAATAGGCGGCGATTCCTCGACCAATTCCATTGCTTGAGCCTGAGATAATCTTCATATAAAGATCTTGATATATATAATAATAAAGCTTGATAATCAAAATTTGAATAACAGAATTTGAATATGAACAAGTTCAGCCTTATAGATTTTCCTATCGCTAAAACCTTGACCAATTTGGGAGTGGGACAAATGCTACCTTTTTTTTGCGCACCCGGACATTTGCGCACCTTTTTTTCCGCACCTTGCCCATTAGCGCACCTTTTTTCGCGTTTTAAAAAGCTCTAAAAGGCTAATATTAACGAATTTCTATTCCAAAAGTTGTTTTTCTAGGTAATTTTAGGGCGTAGAATCGAAATTTTGACATATCAGAGCGTGTGGAAACAAACGGACGGAGTTATACAAAGAGAAAAATCGACAACTTTCTGTAATTTGATCTAGCCGTTTTGTCTTTCAAATTGGTTCCACACGCTCTGATATGTCAAAATTTCGATTCTACGCCCTAAAATTACCTAGAAAAACAACTTTTGGAATAGAAATTCGTTAATATTAGCTTTTTAGAGCTTTTTAAAACGCGAAAAAAGGTACGCTAATGGGCAAGGTGCGGAAAAAAGGTGCGCAAATGTCCGGGTGCGCAAAAAAAAGGTCGCATTTGTCCCACTCCCACCAATTTTAGTCACTAGCAAGTTTTGACGAGTTCAAATTGGTAGACTCAATAAAATGAATAGCTTCAAGTTTGCCGGTTTTGCCGTTTTTAGCTTTGCTCAAATTGTCATGCTCAAATTTTTGGAGATAACTTTTGCTACAAATTTCTACATCTTTCTAAATCAAAATCAAATCAAAATCAAATCAAATCAAACAAAAAAACAAGATTGAAACGACCTACAAAGCTGATTTCAGATCTTAACACTAAATTCATGATAAATCAATATTATCAATAATTCAATATTATTGATAAGCTAAAATTCTTTATAATAAAATAATTTTATTCAAAGTTTAAACAATATCATAAATCTTACCAGTAATTAGGGCAACTTTTCCCGGAAATTGCTTGGCCATTGTCTAAAACATTGACTAATTTATTGAAAACATAAAAGAACAAAAACAAAATTGAATTTAGAAGCTCGATTTCAAAAAAGTTGACCTTTGCTGCGCTTTCCTTTCCTTTCCAAACCTTCAAAAAATGTTTATATAGTGAAAAGGGGAAGTTTATGGTTTCTGTCAATATCTATTTGCTCAGTTTAAGCCTAAGAGAAAAGGGGAAAAGGGGAAAAGGGGGGAAATCCCTCGATTGACCCCACAAACCACACAATTGCGATGCTTGATCGAAAAAAAGAGACGGAGATAGACTGAATGACCATGCCGCTAAAGTGTAGTCTTTTAGAGAAGTGCAAAGATCAAAAAGGACGATTTTTGAAGCCATTGTTAGCTTTTAGAGCCATTGTCATATTTGTTTTGTTTTATTTGTTCAAAGTTCAACAACAAAATAAAACAGAGCTGAACTGATTAACCAGCAGGTCTTATTCCAAAAAACTTCCTTGAAATCTTGATCTAACCCAGTTACTGCCTTTCTGATCTTTATTCTCATAAAAAATCTTCTTAACTCAAATTAAAAGTAACCTGTGATACGGCTAAACTTAATGTGTTTTGATTTGAGCTTTCAACTTGACCTTCTAACTCAAACACATTAAGTTTAGCCGAATTACAGGTTACTTTTAATTTGAGTTAGGAAAACTTTTATGAGTGAAGATCAAAAAGAAAATAACTGCTTTAGGTCAAGGTTTCAGGCAAGTTTTTTTTGGAACAGGCTTACTGGCTAATTATTGGGTTGGTGAATTGACAACTGCGGGACTTTGGACTAAAATTTATTCAACATAAAACCATCAATTCCTTCCAGATAATTTCCATTATTATTGACGACTTCTGCCCATTTTACAGGCAATTTGCGGATTCCTCTTTCATGGTAGGATTTTGGCTTTTGTGTGAGACAAGTGTGAGACTCAAAAATGGAGGACTGTAGATGTCACAGTTTGAGCACTTTCTTCAAAAGAAACCCATTTTGGTGTCAATAGAAAAGTTGTAGAGAATCAAAAAATACGCTTATAGCCAAGTTTCCAAAAAGATACGCTTAGTAGTTTCGCTTAAGATGCAAGTTTTGTGAAAATTCGTAAATTTGGCATTGCTTGAAAACCAGTTTTTGAATCGTTTTGAAAATTTGGATTTAAGCTTAATTTTTGATTCTCTACAACTTTTCCATTGACACCAAAATGGATTTCTTTTGAAGAAAGTGCTCAAACTGTCACATATGACAATAGCCGGCAGTTTTCAATTCACCAACCCAATAATTCAGTCCTGTTTGACTCGAAAAATCGTTTTTATGCATTGACAGCAATAGCAAAAGACATCTAATCGAGAATTTTGTGAATCAATTGGGGCGTAGCGTTTTCTTAAAACAGAAAACTTGAGCGTTTTAGAATATTTGAGTTATCAGATGTCTTTTGTTATTGAGCTATGAGCCAGTTCAATATTTATGAGGACTTTTGAGCTTGCTTGTTGTTTAGAGCTTGCAAAATCGGTTTAAGAAAAAAAAATCATTAAGAAAGCACTGAATTACAGCTTCATCAAAAACTTCATAGCATTGAGCTTCACCAAAAATGAGCCAGTATTGTTTCTCTTCATTCATCAGTTTGCGTCAATGGTTGTTGACTTGTATTTGATTCCTTGTAGACCCTCCTCAAAACTCGCGGCAGAATAATTCTTTTGCTAGTCTGATTGATAAATAATAAAGCCACGACGATCATCATCACAAGAGAGTTCAACGCGCCATGAGTGGCCATTAGAACTCCAAAGATTGAAGTAATTGAAGCTTTTTTTTCAGTCCAGTTGATTTGTGACAAGTTCACTACAAAGTCGACCTTGTAGATTCCCTCTTGGTTTTGCATTGCTTTGCTTTGCTTTGCTCGTTTGAGATATTGGGTTGTCCAGTTATGAATGCGCGTTTTTTACTATTTTGTAAATTTCTGAAGATATCGAAATCAAGAAAAAGATATATATGAGTATTATTCGAAAGCTGAAGATCTCCTCTATATTTTGATATAAAAAGTTTTTGAATTTGTCCAGGTTTTGGGCACAATTGACTGCACAGAAAATGGAAATGGTGGCCAAAAAATGGAAGGGTGCCTTTGGATCAAGTTTTGGCTCCGCTCAAATTGAGTTAACCGTTTGATGTTTGGCCAATAGATATATCAATACAACTTTTTTTAAAATATAAAAATTTCAGAGCATCTTTACTTTTCTGGGCGGTTATTTTACACCATAAAACTTGAGGATTAGCTAAGCTGAAAGGGGTTTTTTCGAAAGCGACCTCTCCCTTTGTGCAGTAAATTTCCCAAAAAGTTGAAAGAATTCAAAAACTTTTTTTATTCCAAAATGTAGAGGAGATCTTCAGCTTTTGAATGATAAATTTTAGTTTCATTTTGTAGATCTCAATAAGTGCAACTCAATAAGAGAAGCTATTAAACGCGATTTTCACGGAGACTCTTGCCAGAATAAAATAGAAAGTAAGAAATAAAAAGTGAAATTAGTACTGAGATTGAAAAAATTGCAAAGACGCAGGAAAAATGAAAATAAATGACGAAATAAATAGTGACGAACGTAGATTTCTTCTTTGTTAAATTTATAAGTTATTCAATTAAAAGACTGAAAATGCAAGTATTCGCAAATATTCGATCGAAAAGTTGCGAATACGAATACGAATACTTTTAGATTTTCAAATACGAATTCAAATTCAAATCAAAGTTGGTGTGTGGGAATTCTTGCAAAAAATCGAGCTCTTTTTCATCGGTATCTTATTCTTGAAAAAAAAAAAAGAAACTTTCGTCAAGGGCCCTTTAAACGGGAGATATTTGCCTTGAAAGTTTTTACGGTTCACTTTTAAGCGTTCTTGGGGTGACAAAAAAGTGCCTCCGGGGGCGCAATCAGTTAGAGGCAGGCGTCCAAAGCCAGAGCTCTCAGCTTTGTGTTCAGACAATTTTTCAATGTTTTTTCAAAAAGCAACAATTTTATAACAACATAACAATCCTCCACCTCTATTTTTTGAGGTAAAGCTAAGCACTTTTGAATCTAAGCAGCATCAATTACTTTGCTCTTTATTTGCTTTCACAATAATTAACTTTTCACTAATTATCATAAATAACTTATTTCAAGTATACAAATAGATTTTATTCTAGTCATGCTACGTCTAACAAAAGTGATTTTGATTGCTGACCAGCCACGGACATTGAATCGATCTGAAAGGAAGTTGTTTGTCCTAAAAATATCCTACCAAACTGTGAGTGAATGGAAATGAATCGTGAAGAAGAAGAACTTCAAATCGAAGACGAAAAAAGAAGAAGTGAGAATGATGTCAAAAATAAACGTTGACGGAAAAGTATCAGATCTGCATATACAACAAGATAGACAGGGTTTCGAACCGATTCGAATCGAATAGGATCCGATTCTCATCGATTGATCTGTCAATCAGATCCGACTGAGTTTATATTCAATCTAAATCCACAGCTGGCTAGTTTCTCTATTGGTTTAGCCAGAATTAGGCTCTAATCAGCTTGAAAACAGTCAATTCCAGCTACACCCTCTTTAACGGCATTCCAGCTATCGTTGAGCGGTTTTCTGGGTCTTTATTCACTATCCTACTAAAAGTATTCTACTCTCAAGATGAGCACTCTTTGTATTTCCAATCGAAAAACAACAGAAACCAGAACATTTCCCTACCCAACACTGCCCAATGAGTTAAAAGCCGTTGTCCATCGAGTCATCCCCTTAAACTCTTTGCCCACTCTCTTCAAAGTCAACAAATCTGTGAAAAATTATCAACTCCAATGCGGTTTTAATCGAAGAATCAACTCAGTTCTGATCAAATCGAATACCACCGGGAAATCGGAAGAAAGACGCTGTATCTTCCACGTGAAACTCGATGATGGCTTATGGTTTCATCTTTCAAGAAAACCGACTTCTATCAGCCACAATAACAGCAAAACTGTCAGTTTCTGTAAAAACACGACTTTCTGGACCCTTTTCAATACGATGCGCACAATAAAATCACTGCAAATCATATTTGAGGGGTCATTATTTGAAGAGCACCACGATCTAGCTGAATACTTTCTACCCTGGATTCGTGTTCTGGCCGAATTCGAGATTCGTGCTCCGTTCCTTATCGTTGAATCACTCCTTAAACGCTTCAATCCAACGGTACTCGACATGTTGGCGATTTTGGATGCAAGGCCGATGTTTATTTTTGAGGCACAAGTACTTTAAGACTCTAAGAAAGGCTTGGAGTTTTCTGAACTGGACAATAGTCTCAAAGCTTAAAATTGTTATGCCTAAAAATAAGTTACTTTACACTTGATACAACCAAATCATGCGAGATCCAGACAGGTACGATCTCGATGGCCCTTGACCCTTGAAAGTTAAGGCAAACAAGTATTAATTTTTTACAAATTTTGTTCAAAACTTTAAACTGTAAAGATCACTTTACAGTTTAAGGTTTTCAACCAAATCCAACCAAATCAAGCGAGATTCAGACAAGTACGATCTCGATGAGCCTTCACTGTATCGACTTCTGATTACTTTCTAAAAGGATGGCTGCTCAGTTTGTTTGAAGAATCTCACGTCTAACAGTTAATACTTTCTGTATCCGTTCAACTTAAACTCTAACACTTTTTTAAAGAGTGAATTTTTAAAAGCAATGATTAATCTGAATTCAAGCACAATCTTCAAACCAATTTAAGTGAATTCCTACGAAACAATAGTGTTATAAGAAAATCGTAAGCTAAAAACACAAAAGCTATGACCAGCAAGTATTACTTTTTTACAAATTTTGTTCAAAACCTTAAACTGTAAAGTGATGCTTGTTCTCAACTCTGTTCTAAAACTATAGCCTAATAGTTGAAAGTAGAAAAAACATTTGAAAATCAGTTTAATTTTCAGTGATTTTTGGAAAGCCAAAGCTTTTTACGGCAGCCATGTCACGATCAAATTTCAAGAAGAAGATGCCGATGAAA